GGATCATATGGTAAGTGCACATTTAGCTTTATAAGAAACTACCAAATTATTTCCCAGAGTTAATAATTTATTTTTAAAAAATACCATGAACATAGGACATAAACATGCACGTGAAAACATAAAAATGCAAGAATTTCAGAAAAATGTACAGTTCTCTTTGTCCACTGCCCACTGTCAGGCCTGCTCCCTGTAACCCTTCAGTTGGGTGGGCGTCCTCTCACTCCTCCACCACATTTCTAAAACTTGCCTTTTCCCTTGGTTTGGAGCTCTTCCTACAGAGCATCTATAAATCTGTTTCGTTCCTTTGTATCTTACGAGTGGACATACCATAGTTTGTTTAAGCATTCCTCCTCTTTGTGGCTATTTCTAATGTTTGCAGTCATCGATAAATGATGCAATGAATATCTCTGAAATGCCTCTGTGTACATCTTTGTGTTTTTCAAAGATGGACACATAGAAGTGAAATTGTTGGGTCACAGACATGCGTATTTGTAACATTGATGGAAACTGCCAGATTGCCTTCTTAAAAGAATGTATCAATCAATACTCCTGCCACCAACGTATGAAAATTTATTTACACCTTTGTCTACACCCAAAATTTTTATTCATTTTGTTAATTAATCTGATGAGTGAAAACTATTTCATTGTTATTTTAATGTGCATTTCCCTGATTAACAATGATGATGCACATCTTTTTTTTAATAACTTAATTGGTCATTTTAATATTATCTTCTGCAAACAACTATTTGTATTCTTGGATCGTTTTATACCCTTATGTGACTGTCATTCCTAGTTGATTTTTTTAGTAGCTCTTTATTTCTTTAGGATATTAGTCCTTTGGATATTTTATATGCTACAATATTTTCCAAAATCTGTCACTCATCTATTAAATTTGGTTTTGGTGAGTGTTCGCATGTGTGTGTGTGTGTGTGTGTGTGTGTGTGTGTGTTACTCAGCTAGTTTCATTTAATTTGGTCTTGTTTTATGTAGTCAAATTGATCAATCTTTTTATGTCTTCTAGATTTTGTTCTTAATTAAGAAGTCCTTCTTTGTCCTAAATTATGAAAATATTCCATTATACCTTTTCCAAAGTTGTTGGTCTGAAAATTATTGGAACTAATGCCCAGGGCTTCCGTGAGTACATTAAATCTAGAATCTTGGGTCTCAGGACTCCAATTGACACATATGATCTGATTTAACATTACATTTACCCTTCTGGGTTGGTGTCATTACAATTTATTTCTGAATGTTCCCTCTCTCTGACTTCTGCTGGTGCAAATTCTTGAGATTCTTTCAATGTGCAAAGTGTCTCTTACCTAGACAGACTTTTGACATCTTCTTTTGGGGTGTATGTGGGAATCTACTCAAGACATATCCGGGGGCAACAATGATCAGGGAAGGTCCTGAGGAGTACTGACTTCCCATCTCAAGATGTCTACCTCATATGAGGTGATTGAAGGTTTTAAGCAAGGAAAGACTGTTTTCTCAAAAGGGAAAAGAGGAGGTGCTGCTTTTGGCAAAAGAAGCTCGGGGGACTTGGGCATTCATGATTTTCAGATTCATTGGAGTCCACTCAGTATATCCAATTCTCAGAGACCCCTTCCTTCCCTACATGTTGCATGACTTTCATTTAAGAGACCCAACAATGCTATGCATTCTCCCTACAATGCGGTTCTATGACCCCTAGTATCCATGTTTGAGTCTGCCTCTCACTGGTTTTCAGCCTTGCCTCCACAAAACTCACAAATTTATTTTAAGGCCAATATAGGGAGCTCTCTCCTTCCTGGACATGGCTTCAACTTGATATTTCAGAGCCCTCAAATTTTTATTTTCTTTTTCTAATTCCTCTAGTGGAATCAGAAGCAGCCGGCCTTACCCACAGAGATTTTGTGGTTGTAATTCCTACAGTAGTGATAAAATTCAACCATCACTTGGCCTCCCGAAGTCTTACTTTAAATAAGCACTTTATTTCATGTAATCACAGCTAATAATTTAAGTAACTGTTTTGCCACCGCATGCCATGGATAGATACTATCAGTAACACATTTCTCACCAACAATAAGACCATCAGTGTGTTCAGTCCCATTCACATCATTTAACAAACTCCAGATTCTCATATTTGACCATCTAGTTCCTGGGTCTATTCATGGTACCACACAGAGCAGCAGTCCTCAACCTTTTTGGCATCAGGGACCAGTTTTGTGGAAGACAATTTTTCCATGGATGAGGGCGGGGAGATATACAGTCAGACCTCACTGCTCATGTCAATCTATATTTGCAGTTGCTCCCCAGCACTAGCATCACCATCCCAGCTCCCACCTTAGATCACCAGGCATTAGAGTGTCAAAAGGAGCACATAACCTAGATCCCTCACATGTGCAGTTCACAAGAATAGGGTTTGTGCTCCTATAAGAATCTAATACCTCCATTGATCTGACAGGAGGTGGAGCTCAGGCGGTAATGCAAGTGATGGGGAATGGTTGTAAATACAGATGAAGCTTCACTCGCTCACCTACCCCTTACCTCCTGTTGTGCAGTCTGGTTTGTAACAGGCCACAGACCAGTACTGGTCTGTAGCCTGGGGTTGGGGAGCCCTGAAGTTAATCAGCAAAACAGACACCATGCTAGGCATTTCAAATAGAGGCAATTTAATATAGATATTCACGAAAATCACTGGTAGAGCAGAAGGGAGAAAGGCAAGCTAGAGAGAAGAAAGGGTTTTTAAGCAAAAACCAAGAGGTGGCAGTTTCTGCTGGCTGGAGCTCACAAACCTGTTGGTACCACAAAGCTGAGGGAGGCATTTCCTCTGCCACTGTTGAAACTGTATCAATGCCACTGAGCAGGACCAGGAGCCTCCGTCCTCTGATTCCAGTCAACAGGCACTCTTACTCTAGCTGCGTGAGAATCCTTTGTGGTACAAGGAAAGTGACTTCTCTCTTGCTCCTTCCTTCCTGTCTCTGGTGAGTGCTGCCCATGGGTAGAGCCTTATAGAAAGCTGGGTGGTGAAGGGCCTGGGACATGTAGTCTGCGGGTTTCAACACTTGTTGTCACATAAGAGATTGTGGAAGAACAGGTGTGCACTCTTTCTCAGGAAGCTGTTGGGAGAGTGTTTCTTCAAAATGAGGGCGAAGATCAAGAAACGGGCGATATGTGATTTGGAGACGGGACAGGGGATCCCACACAGCAGAGAGGCAATGGTAGGGAGGGAGAACCGAGGGCAGCAGCTGTGCAGCAGGCCTGGAGATGGGCCAGGCCCAAGTAGAGCAGGAGGGCTGGCGGCTCCTGGTGGCAGGTCTCTCAGGACAAAAGAAAAAGAAATTTTGGTTTTCATTATAAGCCTTGTAGTACTTAGCTTTTTAAAATATATTTACAGCCAGATGTGGTGGCTCATGCCTATAATCCCAGCACTTTGGGAGGTGGAGGTGAGAAGATTGCCTGAGCCCAGGGGTTCGAGACCAGCCTGGGTAACTTGGTGAGACCTCCTCTCTACAGTTAAAAATTTGTATTTGAATACATTGAGAGGAGACTTACTGTTGTCAGAGAGCTTAGGGGAGGGGTGGGAATTAATGATGAATCCATGAAAACAAAGCAATAAAAACCAAGATTCAGGAAAAACAAAATGCTGTAAAAGAGAGGAAGCTTAATTGCAGTATACTGTGTGGCTCTGGGTTCATAGTGTTCACGTAGCCATAATGATATGAACGTTCACTGTTTGATTACATACAAATGTAATAAAACAAAGTTTAAAGAGAAGAAATATGTTGGGATGTGGAGAGAGATGAAGAGAATTAACTTTTCATCTTTTATATTAAAAAGTCAATAGATAATATTTAAAAATGAAAAATCAGGAAATGTCAGTATAAAGAAGTTATTTAGATGTATGGAGATAAATCTTGGGAAAACACAGCTAAAATAGGGGAAGATTTTCTCTGAGGAGTTTTTAGAGGTGGAATAGGAAAAGGAAATTTTGGTCTTCATTATAAGTCTTTTAGTATTTAGCTTTTAAAAATGTATTTATGGCTGGGTATGGTGGCTCACGCCTGTAATCCCAGCACTTTGGGAAGTGGAGGTGAGAGAACTGCCTGAGCCCAGGGATTTGAGACCAGCTTGGGCAACTTGGCAACAACTCATCTCTACAATAAAAAAAAAAAATTAGCTGGGCATGGTGGTGTGTGCCTGTGTTTCCAGCTATCTGGAAGGCTGAGGTTGAAGGATTGCCTGAGGCCAGAAGGTCGAGGCTGCAGTAGCCATGATTGTACCACTGCACTCTGAGCTGGGTGACAGAGACTCTGTCTCCAAACAAAGAAAAAAAAATTGTATTTACAGCTGGGTGCGGTGGCTCAAGCCTGTAATCCCAGCACTTTGGGAGACCAAGGTGAGAGGATTGTCTGAGCCCAGGGGTTCAAGACCAGCCTGTGCAACATGACTGGACCTCGTCTCTGCAATAGTCAAAAAATTAGCTGGATGTGGTAGTGAATGCCTGCAGTTCCGGCTTCTCAGAAGGCTGAGGCAGGAGGATCGTAGGAGCCCAGCAGGTCAACGTTGGGGTGGCCATGAGTGTGCTGTTGCAATCCAGCCTGGGGGATGGAGTGAGATTCCAACTCAAAAAAAAAAATGTATGGTATTGCTTTGATGAAATATTAATATAATTTTTAAAATCCACAAATTTCAAGAAATTTTTAACTAAACTGAAAAGTTCTGTCTAGGTTAATAATGCCAACAGTGCTCTTCACTGAACTCTCCCCAAGATCTTTTGTAGAAAGCACATACTTGTGCTCATCTAGTCTAACAATAGGAGACTTAATGATCGCTCAGGTTGAATATCTGATTCTTTTATGTGAGATTCCTTTCAAGTCTAACCCAGACAATAATCAGTGTGTTTTAAAACTTCTTCACCCGTGTTACTGAAAGGCCTTTTAAAATTCTCGCCATATATTCTGGAAAACTTTTATTGCTTTGGGTGTTTGACTTCCTTAAGTAAACAGATTCTCCTCTTTAACTTTATTATTTTTCAGACCTTTTTTATTCTGTTTCTTTAACCCACAGTTCCCCTATGTATTCTGGTTTGATGTCATTGTGGGGAGAAGAAGCAAATAAAAAAAAAAAGATGACTAAAAAACCCTCTAGAAAACCAATGGCCATTGTCCTAGGAATGCTGAGAACAGAGAGAGCTGGAAGATCTTGGCAGGATCTTGTCCTGTGGGTATATTTTTACACAGTGGCACAACAGTTCCATCGGCTGTGAATCTGGGTTGACAGGGGTAAGTAAGGCTGAATCGTATGGGTTTTGTGGAGAGTGAAGAAATCTCTGCTCCCGGCTTTGACATCATCAGAGCAAGACCACAGTGGAAGCAATGGGCTCTCCACTTAGTTTGATGCAATGTCTGCTTTCTTAACTTGGAGGTAAATCATTTTTTCTTTATTTTTTCTGGGTCTGCAATAAGAAATAAAAAATGGAAAGAAAGAAAGTATGAGGAGGCTGAAAACCAAAATCAAGTAGATACTAAATAAAAGAAACAATGACTAGGCGTAAGCTCTGTTCAGGATTAGTCACGTGGTATACTCTGAGTGGTGGTTCTCATAAAGAAAATGGGCAAAGCTTGCTGAATCACTAATGTGGATGAGGTGGTTTCTACAACTCTCTTCTGGAAGTTGAGCTGCCCTAAACGAACTCTATTTTTTAGGGTGTTCCACCCTTCTCTATAATAGAGAATGTAGGTTAAAGATTACAATGAATTGTTATAATCAGGTCTGCAAATAGAATTTGAGAAATTATTTTTTATCAAAGTTCATTTACTTTTTAACAGTGTGACAAGTGAACAATGCAACTAAGATATTTGTTCAAATTGCAAGTTGTCTAATCATCTTGTTTTTGTGAATGCCAGGATGCTGCTGATATTCATTGTAGAAATTCAGTTTTCTTCCTTTTGTTGCTTCCAGCCATGACTTTTGGACCTGGTCTGGTTTATAGTAATGTTGAATCAGGTATGGGCTGCTCCTGGGCCCAGCCCCTCAGAATTTCCTCCACCTGCAGATGGTTAGTTCCGACTCAATTTCTGGACAGATCTAATCTGGGACGGAGGAGAACAGAAGTTCACCCAAGTCACCCTGTGGTTTAGGAGTTCTCTCAGCCTCCAGAGCTCCCATGGTCTCCTGACAATGATGATAGCAACAGCAGCAGCAGAGACAATAACAGCATTGATAACAACAAGAGCAGGAACAACGACAGCATCAACAATAGCAAAACAGCGACAGCAATAACAATAGAAACAGCAGCAACAATACCATCAGCAACCACAATGACAGCAATAACAGCAGCAGCAACAACAGCAGCAGTATCATAGTAACAGCAACAACAGCAATAGCAACAGCAACCACATAATCAACAATAATAGCAACAACAACAGCAATAGCAGTAGCAATAGCAGGAGCAGCAACGACAACAGCAACAATAACAACAGAAACAACAGTGGTATCAACAGCAGCGATAACAGGAATAGCAACCACAATAACAATGACAGTGGAGCTGCAAAGATAACAGCAGCAGCAACAGCAGCCATAAGAGCTGGAGTGATGGAACGTCAGTCACTGGTGGGTGCATCACTGCTTGCCCCATCTGCGAGCCCAGCCCTCCGAGGGTGAGACAAGTGCACAGACCAGGGCATCTGGCCACCAAGATTGAAACCTTGGCTTTGTCATTTACTTGTTGTGTGGCTTTGAGCAAGTCCTTTACTTTCTCCGGCCTGGGTTTTTTCAGTTGTCAGTGGAGTTCATAGCAATACCTGTTTTGTAGGGCTGTGGCAAAGATCCAATGAGGAAATACAGGCATACATTTCTCCACCAGAGCTCTTGGGTGACCCGATGCATTGTCAATGAGCAGTATTGTTTTGAAAGGAATCTTTTTTTCTGAGCAGTAGGCCTGTTTAGTGGGCTTAGCATATTCAGTAAACCATGCTATAAGCAAATATGCTGTCATCTAGGCTTTGTTGTTACATTCTAGAGCTCAGGCAGAATATAATTAGCATAATTCTTAAGAGTACTAGGATTTTCAGAATGGTCAATGAGCACTGACTTCAAAATAGTTATCAGCTACCTTAACCCCTAGCAAGAGAGTCAGCCTGCCCTTGGAAGCTTTGAAACCAGGCATTGACTTTTTCTCTCTAGCTATGAAAGTCTTAGATGGCATCACCTTCTGACATAAGACTGATTCGTTGACATTGAAGGTCTGTTACTTAGCACAGTACCTACATCCATTATCTTAGCTAGAGCTTCTGGTTAACTTGCTGCAGCTTCTCCCTCAGTACTTGTTGCTCCACCTTGCATTTTATGTGATAGAGGTGGCTTCTTTCCAAAAATCTCACAAACCAGTGGCTACTAACTCCAAACTTGTCTTCTGTTTTCTCACCTCTCTCAGCCCTCACAGAATTGAAGAAAGTCAAGGCCTTGCTTGGGATGTGACTTTGCCTTAAGGGAGTTATGGCTGGTTTGATCTTCTATCTAAACCACCAAAAATTTCTCCATATCAGCAATAAGACTGTCTCACTTTCTTCTCCTTCATGTGTTCACTGAATAACACTTTTTACTTCATCCAAGAACTTTCCCTTTGCATTCACAACTTGGCTAATTGGTGCAAGAGGTCTAGCTTTTGGCCTGTGTCAACTTTCCACATGCATAATCATTTCTAGCTTTTGATTTAAAGTTGAGATGTGTAACTCTTTCATTTGAATGCTTAGAGGCCACTGTAGGGTTACTCATTGGCCTAATTTCAATATTGTTGTGTCTTAAGGAATAGGGGGGCCTGAGGAGGAGAGGGAGAGAGATGAGGGAGTTGGTATTTGGGGGAGCAGTCAAACACACAAAGCAGTTATCAGTTATCGTGGGCAAAGTTCATGGCACCCCAAAACAATGACAATAGTAGCATCAAAGATCATCAGTCAGAGATCACCATAACAAATGTAATAATATTGAGAAAGTTTGAAATATTATGAGAATTACTAAATGTGACACAAAGACATGAAGTGAACCCATGCTGTTAGAAAAATAGGGCCAAAAGATTTGCTCAAGGCAGGGTTGCCATAAACCTTCAATTTGTAGAAAATGTAATATCTGCAGAGTCAATAAAACGTGGTGAGCCTGTATGAGTGGTGGACGTGGAGAGCACTAGTTGAGAACGCTGGGAAATGTTAGTTCCTGTATCCTCATATACAGAGGAGGAAGTGGGCCAAAGAGGTGATAGAAGGTAGAAGGTAGGAGTCCTGCAGGCTGCATTCCTCACAAGGCAGGCCTGGGCCCTTAGGAACCAAATGATTTGGGTGGCAGTGGGGGCCTCTTGCCCTGTCCTGTTCTTGCTGGTTCTCCTCGGTGTGTATGACACTGCTCCTGGAGTCCACTTTCGGTGCCAGCTATGGTCTGCCCTCCTGCTCCCAGGCCCCCCTGCCTCCCTCTGGCTGTGCCTCCCGCCCATTCCTCTGTGGGCAGGCCCTTCTCACAGCTCAGCTTAGCCCTTGCCTTCTCACATTCTCCTTCCACAATTCCCCAAGTCTTACGCAGATCTATCTTCCAGCTATGAGTGGTGAACTGGGCTATGTGACCCAGAAACAAGAAAAACGCAATCAAATCTTCATAGGAGTATTTGAAGGTCACACGAATAGAAAGGATATAAAACAACAACAGGAATAGTCTTTTGAAATATCTCTTTAACCTGCTTTGAACCAACCGGATGAAGATGAAAAACTCTGACAAGTTGGGTGCTTGTGAGTGTCCCTGAGTTATACTTTTCCATCTTAAAACAACTCAGAATGTATTTTTAAATTGGATCTCCAATAAATAGTCTAGGTTACTCATTTCCTTGTTTTACAGAACAGCTATGAAAGCTTCTGTGAATAATAACAGTGGCTCTTGGACATTTATTGTCAGGCATTTTACATGTTTTATCTGATTTAATTGTTATAAAAGTCCAGTGAGTAGGTACTGTTGTCCCCATCTGCAAATGAAGAAACTGAGGCTTAGAAGCATTCAGGTCACATGACTGGGAAACGTGAGCACAGTCTGTCAGACTCTATGGCCTGTGTTCCTCAGAGAATAAATGACTGCTTGCTTGACACTGGGGCTGCCCAGGAAAAGGAACTTCAGAGGGAGGCTGTGGAAGGGACTCAGCTTCTAGTCCACAAGTATTTGGTAAGCTCCTAACGTGTGTGTGCCAGGTACAGTGCTACGCTCCAGGGATGTGTCAGTAAACAGGATTTAGTCTCTGTGTTCGAGGGGAGGTGCCCATGTACGTGGGAAGCTGCACTGAGATTGGGGTACGGGGTGGGGGGAAGCTGCACTGAGATAGGGGTACAGGGTGGGGGATGGTTGGTTGAGATCAAGAGTCTCAAACACAAATGTCTGTGTGAACTAGGCAGATGATCTAATGCAGCAGACACACAACAACAGGGAAGAGTGGAGACTGTGGCCCACTGCAGAAGGTGTGCCTTTCAGAAAGTTGAGCCATCGCCCAGCTCCTACAAATTGTCAACAAGAAGAAATACCTGCTCAGTGTTACCAAATATTCTGATTTTTAAAAAACACATTCTGTATGTCTCATTGATGTGGAATTTCCCACTCTTAAAAAATACTGTGGGACAATCCCTTTGGGTCCCCTCCCATTGTGGGAGCTTTTCTGTCCTTTCAATAAATCTTGCTTTAAAAAAAATAAATAAATACTGGGGTTAAAGCATTTGAGACCCTGATGTCCTGTGGGCTGCCAGCATACAACCTCTGGCCGGATTCAAAAGCCTCTTCCAATGCTAGGGCTCAAATTCTAGGGAAAACCTCAGACCACTGTGATTCAGCAACATTTTGCCCAAGTACTAAATATGTTAAATATAAAGGTTTTGTAGAATGAATAAAATTCAGTTCTTCTTGTAGCACCCTATTCCAAGTGGAGTAAGAGCAAAATAAATAAAAGCATCTAAGCATACTGCATACACAAGCTTATGGGGAGAGTGTCAGATCGGTTTCTCTTTTTTTAGCTTTTTAAAAATTTACGTTTTGCGTAGGTTTTATGGTCAAAAATTCAGAAATTACAAAAAGGCAAGCACTGAAAAGTCTCTCTTACAGCTAGTATTTCACAGCTATGCGGTTCCACAGACAACCAATGCTATAGCTCTTGGACATTCTTCCAGAGATGCAAGTATTTATTTCACTATTTTTACACAAATGGTAGAACACATAGTTTTCTATGCTTTGCTTCCCCACTCCCCCATTAACAATATATCTTGGAGAACTTTCCTTACCGGTGTTTATAAAGCTGCCTCATTCTTTTTAATGACTGTATTTTACTGAATGGCATATCATAATTTATTTAATGGGTCTCTCTATTGATTTACATTGAGGTTGTTCTCCAACCTTTTGTTATCTAAGAAAGATTGCTTTAATGATTACTTCTGTTCATGTCACTTTGCATATGTAAATTCGTAGAAGTGCAGAATTCCTAGGGTAAAGGATACACACATTTGTAAATTTTATACTATTGTCATATCGTCCATCACAAAAACTTCAAATCTGTACTTTTACTGACAATGTACAATCTGTGATTCCCCAGATTACTTCTCAACACAGTATGTTACCAGGTAATTTGATTTTCAACTGTCTAAATGGATATTAGTGTGGTGTTAATTTGCACTTGTCTTACTATGAAGGAAGTTGAGTATATTTTTGTATATTTAAGATCTATTTTTATTATCTTTACACTGAATTATCTCTTCAAGCCCTTTGCTTTTGTTTTTCTGCTGGTTGCTTATGAATTTGTTAGAGCCTTTTGTACATTGAGAAAATTACCCCTATGTAGAGCAGCAAATGTTTTCATTAAGTTTGTTATTTTATTTTTAGCCTATGGCAGTTTTTCAGTGCAGAACCTTTTATTTTTATGAAAGCAAACATATTAATCTTTCTATTACGGGTTCTGGATTTTTAGGGTCATATTTAGAAAGACTTTCCCCACTGTGACAGTTTAAAGAAATTCTTCTATAGTGTCTGCATTATTTTACTGATTCTTTTTTTTATGCTTTAAAAGTCTTTGATTTAGTTTGAATTTATCTCAATGTATGGTGTGAGGTGGCAAATCCTTCTTTCCACTGACTACAGAGTTGTCTCCAAACCTTTATCAAATGGTTCATTTGGGGATTTCAGCCACCTACCTTTGTATGTTTTCAGCTTCCTCGATGGTCTCAGGCAAAGCCTTCCCTTTGGTCTCTGGTAGCAACAGCACCAGACCACCTGCAACCAAGCCAACTGCAGCTGAAAGCCAAACAGATGCAAATCAGGTCAAGAACTGAACAGCGCAGGTTCTATAATTAGAACTCCTCTTATTTCTATTTTAAAAATTTTTTTGGTATTTTTCTATACTTACGTACAGATTCCTTTGCCATCTCTGACTGCCCTATTTTCCATTATAAATATTATACCAACTCCACACTCCATTGAATTACAATTCCTAATAGGGAAATGAAATACTTAACATTTTGAGTCAAGGTTATTCTAGGCTAGAGGATGTTGCCATCATGTTAGGATACTTCGGAGTTAGAAAATAACTCTGAAAACAAAATTAGCTGTATGAGAAGAAAGAACATAACCCTACCAGCATAAAGCATTTAGTAATGAAAATAAGTCAGAAACTTGGATCATTATTAGCAAATAAAGGTAATGAATCATGTATTACTTAATAACAGCACTAAGAGGCATAGCCAGGCATTTAGTTCAAACTCAGATATGCACTAAATTATCTAGTTTTTTTCCTTTTTGTCTAGTTATATTCTTTAATAATAAGTACTTTAGTGTTTCTGTTCTTTGGATTCCAATAAAAGCTTTGGTCTTTTTATTTTTTATTTTCTGAGTTGGAGTCTTACTCCTTACCCAGGCTGGAGTGCAGTGGCACACTCATGGCCACACCAGCGTTGACCTGCTGGACTCCAGTGATCCTTCCGCCTCAGCCTTCCAAGTAGCCGGGACTACAGGTGTGTGCTACCAGCTAATTTTTTAAATTTATTGTAGAGACGAGGTCTTGCCAAGTTGCCCTGCTGGTCTTGAACCCGTGGTCTCAGGTAATCCTCTTGCTTCGGTCTCCCAAAGTGCTGGGATTACAGGCTGAGCCACTGAATCTGGCAGCTTTGGTCTTTTAAAGCAATATTTCTTTTTTTCTATCATGGAATATAGGAAACGGGATATGGGTTCTTCACTGGTTTGGGGGTTTCCAAACACTGCATGTTGATTTTTATTTTTGTACCCTTAAAAAATTACTGAGGCTGGGTACTGTGGTTCATGCCTGTAATCCAAGCACTTTGGAAGGCCGAGGTGAGAGGATTGCCTGAGCCTATGGGTTCGTGACCAGCCTGGGCAACATGGTGAGACGTCGTCTCTACAATAAATCCAAAAATTAGCCTGGTGTGGTAGCGTGTGCCTGTAGTTCCAGCCACTTGAAAGGCTGAGGCGGAAGGATGGCTGGAGCCCAGCAGGTTGACACCAGGGTGGCTGTGAGTATGCCATTGCACCCCAGCCTGGGCGACGGAGTGAGACTCCTACTCCAAAAAAAAATTAAAAAATTCCTGAAATGGAAGCTGCAGAGCACAGTTGCTCAGAACGCAAGCTCTGAGAGCCTGGGCTTCAACTCTGATCCCCACACCTGCTGGCCTTAGGGCCTTGAGAACTTCGGCAATCTCACTAATGCTCCAGACTTTTCTATGTACAGCGGGTTAATATACCTGCGTCACAACTTTTTATGAGGCTGAAATGAATTAATATTTGTCAAACGCTTAGAATAGTGCCTGGTACATGGTATGAACTATGGAAGTGCTCGCTAAATAATTTACCCCTCAAAAATCCAACCCTCCCAAGAGTCACTTGGCTATTGTACTGTAGCCAATGCAAACACAAACAACATTCAGCTGGCAATCTGAATCTATGAAGTAAGTAGATCATGACAAATATAATAGATTAATCTAATTATCATCTATTTGGCTTTTTATATTTGCAAAAGCAGGTCTAAGTAAACATGCGATCCCTTGTCACTTTTTCCAGTACTCCTTCAATCAAGATTTTCCAATGTGTTGGTTTTTAGGCTTTGTTGATCACTGTTTTATGGCTGTTTCAAGACAACAGTTAGCACACCATTATTGCATGGAAAAGAAAGGAAAGAAGTTAAAATGCAGAACTATTAGCATTGCTTTCTGCCAGCTACTCTGATCAAAGGATGGTGCACAAAGAAGATGAAACTACTCACAAAAATAAAATCGTCATTGTCTTTGTGCTTACTCTCAATGTTGAAATGTAGTTACAATCCCTTACCTTTTCCAGGGGGAAGCAGGAACAAGCGTCAACAATGCTTCCTCTGGGTCTGAACTTGGCATTACTTTGTTCAGTAGTACTTAGAAAACAAGAAGTATCTATTTGGTATCCGTATATGTCCTGCTGACCCACTGGCCACCCACTGTCCACCTAAAAGAGTGACCAAGATGGAGGCATCTCTAACTTCCTCCATGGCAGGAAGAAGTCCAGAGGGTGTGATGGGCACTTCCTCGAGATGAAAAGGGGACTCTGGGAACAGGCTCCTCAGCCAGTATTGGGTGAGAAAGGAATTTGGGGCATGTCTGTCTTGTCAGCAGCACCAACTGCTCTGTGGTCATCTCAGGGAAAAGTGTGTTGGGCTGACACATGGAGGAAGTCATTGGTTGGGTCTGTTTTGAGGAAAGTTCTGTTGATGGTTTGGAACTTTTGTTGGCAGATTCACAGTGGTGGGTGGAGAATTTCCCCATCATAAGTCCCTTGAGAAGAAAAGGAAGAGGAGGAACAGTAGGGCACCTGTGTGTGTACTGTGTAGCATCCATGTTGGGGCTTCTGGTGAGCATCTGGGAGTGGGATCTTTCCCTTTCTTCCCCCCAGATTAAGTGAGTGCCCTTGGGAAAGAGTGTCATATATACAAATTTACAGTGGCTCAAAATGGGGCTTAAAGGAGACTGAAATGGGTGCACTGAGGTGCTCTGGTTAACTAGAGAAGGTGAATGTCATGGGGTGACTAGAAACCGCAATCACATCTCAGTATCTGTGGGGACACACAGGAGGAATGGGTCTGTTCCGTGTCTTGCAATTGTGGGAAAAGGCCATGGACGCTGGGTGGATGGAGGTGCCCAGGATCCCTGTGCTCTTCTGTGGTGGCAGACATCATGCCCTGCATCTGCCTCTGTGTATTCATTGCTGATAGTTAGACTTGTCCTGTCACCTCCTGTCCTCCAGGAAAGGAGGGAAGGGAGGGCAGGGGTTGCTCAGTGCTGCTACAGTCCTGTGGAGGGATGGGTAGGGGAATGGTCCCACTCCATGCAGTAGCAGAAGGGTAAATGCTGTGTCATGCTCCTGAAGTGTCATCACTCCAGGAGCATCCCTGCAGGTGTGCCATTATGCACATATGTTTTCTTGTGGGGGGGGAGGGTTTTTATATAGCTTTCATTATATTTTTATTTAAATGATTTTTCAAAATCAATATCATAATGAAAGGAATAATAGACATAAGAGTTATAGTACATGGACTAAAATAAAATAATGTAATACATTTGAATTACCCTTTAAGTTTGTTTGTCTATTTGATATGCACAAAAATCTAAAAAAGGATGTGTTATCTTTAATGTGGGTCTTTGTTTCCTCTGGGTTTGGAAGTTGCCTTTTACAAAATTGTAACTGCCTTTGTTTGAAGTAAAAAGTAAGAGGGTATTGTGTTTCATGGCCTCTGGGCAAGGAGGAGGCAGGAAGGGCTCTTTGATGAGGCCAGGAGTGGTGGAATAAGTGGGGAGAGGTTAGAGCTCCCTGCTCTAGCCTGTCTCCACCCCCTTCCATGCACGTATTCATCCTTCCCTCTCATTCTTCTCTTCAACTTTGTGCCTCTTGGACAGGAGTCCCCTACTTAAGTATTAGCAGTGACTGGTAGTATTATGAATACTCTATTAGTTTTACTGATTGGTATTGCTGATACTATTATTATTATTGTTATTATTTTGAGTTGGATTCTCATCTGTCACTCAGGCTACAGTGTAGTGGCACAATCATGGTTCACCGCAGCCTTGACCTCCAGGGCTCAGGGGATCCTTCCACTTGAGCCTCCCTAGTAGCTGGGACTATAGGCATGCGCCACCATGGCCAGCTAATTTTTAAATTTATTGTATAGATGAGGTCTCACCATGTTGCCCAACCTGGTCCTGAATTCCTGGGCTCAAGCAATCCTCTCACCTCCGCCTCCCAAAGTGCTAGGATTATAGGCGTGAGCCACTGTGCCAGGTGTAATAGTATTATTAATTACTATAGTAGTTAGTAGTTACTGATAAGTATGACACCTGTTTTCGAGGGGAGACATGAAAGTCCCTAGAGAAATAGGTTTTTGTTTAAAGACATCTATGAGGATTCTCACCAAAAACCACCAGTGGGAGCTCAAGCCAGATGCCAGTGAACCGGTAGACCAGGAACGGCGTGATAATGCCACCAATGTCACACATTGAAGAACAGACGAGGACACCGAGATTCCTAAAATGCAGGAAACCAACTTAATTTTTTAACTCATCACAGTGCAATAATAATTATCTCCCTCCCCACCCCCAAATAAATACTTCCCCAAATCATTAAAATGTTTGAGAGCTGAAAAAAATTATTCATGTTATTTTTAATGCACAAAAATGATACATGTATACAAGTCCATTCATATTCTGTCATTCTTGTTTTACATACACTTTAAGATTTTTAATGGTGGATAGAGCATTTTTTCTTTATACTTTCATTGCCTGGCTTTCCTTCTCTACAGACCTGTTTGTGCCTTTCCAAGTGACTCTGCCCTGCAACCCTTTGGTCCCTGTCTGGCATTTCAGCACTTTCTGTTCTCACCTTGGCTCCTGGATCTTGCCCCGGCTTGTAGGTGTGAGAACTGAATTACTGGGCCTGGTTGGACTTTTCAATGTTCTCACCTTCACTTTTGCCATGTTTTCAAAATTAACATATTCTCTGCCTGCACCTGGGGCGGTTCTAGCCATGACCAGATGTTCCAAGGCCCTTCTTCATGCCAAGGACAATGCACTCACCTAATGAATGTGGGGTACAGCTCAGCATTGACCAGGCAGACCATTTCAAAGGCCATCGTGATCCCCATTCTTCCCAAGCAGGCAACAGTAATTTTTAGCCACTGTAGATCTGGGGGGAGGAGGGAAAGCACACCGATTATAGCATGCAGACGATCCCAATTACACACCAATTAATCATATGCAGATGATCTCTCCTCTTCAAACAGTGCTCCAGACAGGGCTATGGAAGGGGAAATTCTGTACAGGAATGGGGTGAGAAAGCATAATTGAATCTTCTATAGACTCACCCCAGTGTTAGCAAATTCTCACATTTGTTTGTTTTAGCCTCAGATAGAATTCTAACACTCTCTTTGTGTTTAAAGATTTTATTCTTTGAATCAGTTTTAGGTTCATGGCAAAATTGAGAGGAAAGTACAGAAAGCTCCTATACACTCTCACCCTGACACATGCACAGCCTCCCCATTATCACCCCCCCGCCACAGAGTGACACTGTTACAGCTGATGGGCAAGACTGACACAGTATGATCATAGTTTGCATTGGGGTTCACTCTTGGTGTGTTATACATCCATCAGTGACCTATAGGCACTATTATAGTATCATATGGAATAATTTCACTGCCCTAAAGATACTGTGTTCCCTGTATTTTTTTAATTTTTAATTTTTCTAAGTTGGAATCTCACTCTGCTGCCCAGGCTAGAGTGCAAAGGCAGATCATAACTAACTACAACCTCGACCTCCTCGACCTCCTTCTGTGTTACCCTCCAAAGTAGCTAGGACTCCAGGCAGGCACCACAATGCCCAGCTAATTTTTGGATTTTTTTTTTTTTTTTTGTAGAGATGAGATCTCACTATTTGCCTGGGCTGGTCTCAAACTCTTAGACTCAAGTGATCCTCCCACCTCAGCCTTCCAAAATGTTGGGATTACAGGCGTAAGCCACCGTGCGTAGCCTCTGTGCTTTCTTTGGATTTCAGTTGTTAATGAAAATGAAATTTCCAAAGATGCATCAACTTTAGTACGTAGAAGTCATACCCCTTCAATAGTGAAATATGGACACATTCTAAATAATTGCTAACAACAGAAGGATTCAAACAAAGTTCCACATTTCTTTTTCTTTTTTTTTTTTTTTGAGTTGGAATCTCACTCTGTTGCCCAGACTGGAGTGCAGTGGCTGCTCCTGGCCACCGCAGCCTCAACCTGCTGGGCTCTGGCGATCCTTCTGCCTCAGCCTTCCTAGTAGCTGGAACTACAGGCGTGCGCTACCACACCCAGCTAATTTTTTTGATTTGTTCCACATTTCTAAAAGGACTCTGCTATACAGGTTTTTGCTGCCTTTTATTGGGAAGGCATTTTAAAAGGAAAGAAAGGAACTGAATAATTGTTTATTGATAGCATTTGCTTACGTTTTCTCATGTATTCTATAGGAAGACTCAAGGAGGTCAAGGGAGTCAGCTAAACAATACTTAAGAAGTACCAAGTAGTTTGACCTTAGTCTGCCCTCCTAAAGCCCAAACTCTCTGTGCTAGGCTAGCTTGATGGCCTGTAGATGTTTCACTGCCTCTTTTGTTCTATTAATGCCATATCAGGGAACAATTGGGTGCAATTGTTCCTAAAGTTATGTTGGCTCTATGGGTTTGCATAGAAAGGTCCTGGATATTGTCCTTCAATTGTCTTTCCAAATTGATTTGGATGACAAATTACATGGTGTTTCTATCCAAGGGCCATGACACTTTCTCTTCTCAGAGCCTTGGAGACAAGACCCCAGCTTGGCCTGAAACTAACCATCAGGGATGAATACCGAGGCTAGACAGGCTGCCCCTGCCACCATATTGGCTGCTGCCCAGGGATAACGGCGACCAATGCGGTCAATGGTGAGGATGATGATGATGGCAGCTGGGAATTCAACCAGGGCAGAGTAGAAGAAATCCAGGTAGATATTGTCTCCTGCAAGGCCCATGTGCATGATGAGTCCCTGGTAGACCACTGAGCTTGTGAACCTGAGCAGAGAGGAGAGTTCAGGTCAAGTGAAGCAACAATCTCAAGCCATTACAAGGGAGAGGCTTCTGGAAAAATAAGCATTGACTGGAGGTCACTTTTCCCTGTGATCTTTTCCTTGCTTGTCCCCATCATTGCTTTGACAATATCTGATCCAGTTTTGTGAGTGAGACCTGAGTACCAGGAAAAGGGAAAAAAATAGGATAGCATTCCTTGGCCAAATTGAAAGCCAAGAATGTCTTAATCTAGTGATTTATTGAGTGGAACTATATCAAGTTATTAGTGATTGTGAATTGTTTCTTTCTTTGTGGTTCCCTAATGCCATTGGGATCAAATGATGACTGAATTTAAATTTTAGGAAACCAGAAAACCAAATGGGTACAGCTCTCTTCTTGATAATTTCTCTAGTGGCCAAATGCAAACAACATTTGGACAATGTTTCTAGTTTTGTTGACTGAAAATGGTCATTTAATGTAATGGAAAATATGAGGAAAATCAACAAGAGTCACAATTATGCAGAAAAGGAAAGACAGATAATGAGGCCTAATTTCAAAGCTGTCATTTCCCTGCAACATGGTGAAAGTTGCTAAATTAGTTCCTGATGAGCTTTGCTTTTGTCAGTTTTTATAAATAGATTTTCATGTGGCTGGTTTGAGACCCGGTATTCCCTGAAAAGTGGCCTTCTCACTAGAGAAGGCATGGTTCAAAGTAGTAAGCAGTTCGGAACTCTGAGAGCATCCTGTAGGCCGCAGACAGGGTAAGGATCAAGTTACTGTGGCTTGGAGCCCATGGGCTATTCTTGTGGCTTATTTTTTTCCATAAATTTATTTATTTATTTTTCTTAGGTAGAAAAGAAAAAGGAAAGGAAAGGCTCTTTCCTTGGCAACCTGTATGATTGTAGAGGCCTATGCTCCTTATCCATTAATCTATACCAATCATTCTCAGTATTGACTATAAATTAGAATTATCTTGAGAATTTTAAAAAATGTTGGTTCCTGGTCCCTAGAACAATTAAATGGTCCCTAGAACAATTAAACCCGTATTTCTGGAGATGGGAGTTCAGTATTTTACAATCTCCCAGGTTCTAATGTGAAGCCGAGGTTAAGAATACCCCAATTTATGCCTAGGCACTACACGGTGATATCAACATTTGCCTGAGAATAGGGCTCTCAGGGAGGCCCACACTACACGAACCATGCATTGCCACCCACAGTCAATGGGATTAGGTCAGGTTTTGAAGGTGTTCTTGTTCCTTCCCTTAATGTGGATGAGTGTGATTAAAAGAACTTGGAGGGATTTCAAGGTGAAAAATGTTCCTTACCAGATGTACATCAAGATCAAAGTGCGTTTTCTTATCTGTGGTGTTCTGATCAAGTCAAGAAATGAAGGATTCAGCTTCTCTCCCGCTTCCTCCTCATGTCTCAGGCTCTAAGAAAAGAGATAAACTGGCTCTGTATATTTGACGATGGTGGCCTGGATCACACAGGGAATGACAATAACTCTTTATGTATATTGAATGCCCATTATGTGCCTAGCACTACACGAAGCACTTCACACGCTTTGTCTCACTGAATCTTTAAAAAAACCCTACAAGTTAGATTCTACCTCCTTCATCCCATTTCACAGAAGAGTAGGCTGGGATATAGAGAAATCGGTTCACCCTTTGGGAGGCTGAGGAGGGAGAATCACTTAAGTCCAGGAGTTTGAGAGCAGCCTGGACAACATCATGAGACCTCATCTCTACAAAAATGTTTTTTAAAAAATTAGCCGGGCATAGTGGCAAGTGCCTGTAATCCCAGCTATGCAGGAGGCCGAGGCAGGAGGATTGCCTGAGCCCAGAAGGTTGAAGCTGTGGTGAGCCACGATAGTGCCACTGTACTCCAGCCTGGGAAACAGAGTGAGTCTCTGACTCAAAAATAAAAAAAAATAATAAAATGATATTATTTGAGCCGGGCTCGGTGGCTCAGCCTGTAATCCTGCGCCTTTGGGAGGCTGAGGTAAGTGGATTGCCTGAGCCCGGGTTCAAGACCCACCCGGGCAGCGAGACCTCATCTCTACAATAAATCAAAAAATCAGCCGGGCGTGGTAGTGCGCACCTGTAATTCCAGCTACTAGGAAGGCCGAGGCGAAAGGATCGCCGGAGCCCACCAGGTTGAGGCTGCGGTGGCCGGGAGCGGCCACTGCACTCCAGTCTGGGTGACGGAGTGAGACTCCAACTCAAAAAAAAAAAAAAAAAAAAGAATGATATTATTTATAAAGCGTCGTGGGATATAACCAAGGCCCAGCCACGAAGGCCAAGGGCTGAGGGTGAGGCAACATGTCTGCCCCCTGAATGCATCTGTGGCTCATCAGGCAGGAAGTTCTGCCCTGGAAACTTGAAATTTACACCAGCATCAGCATCCCCTGAGTTTGTTAGAAATGAAGAACTTGGGAGACACACTAGTCTGAATGTGCATTTTCACAAGGTCCCCAGGTGATTCCTGTGCACAGGTAGCATCTTTTGAGAAACTCTGCTCTAGAATACAGTTAGGAGGTGGTGGAGCTGAGATTTTCCCTTCCTGATGGTGTGTGAATAGGAATAGGGCATGAAGGAGAGAGACCTCCAGCAAGACTTTGGCAATGATGAGACTTACTCTCACTACCTGGACTTCATCTCCTTTGGTGAGATGATACTCGTGTTATATCCCCTGGCCACTTACTGGAGGAGTCGAAAGTCTAAGACTCGGGTGCCACACCAGACATTTGTGGACAAGGATATGCAGTCCAACCTCCCAGAAGCCAGGAAGAGAGTGAGGGAAAAGGCCTCTGAGTCCAAAATCCTCATTCTCAACGTTCTGTAAATCTCATGTTCTGACAGGTCACCTCTCTTAGATCCTCATTCAGAAATGATTTACTATTCTTTTGACACAATTTTCTATTTATTTATTTATTATTTATGTTTTATATAGAGATAGGGTCCTGCTATGTTGCCCAGGCAGGTCTTGAACACCTGGACTCATGCAATCCTCTTGCCTTGGCCTCCCAAAGTGCTGGAATTATAGGCATGAGCCACCATGCCCAGCCTTGACATAATTTTCTAATAAGTTTGATTTTCTCTTTTCCAGTCCCTAGTTAGGCAAAAAGGTTTGAGGTTAATATAGTGAGATCTACTAAAGGCAAACACTAACTCCAGGTAATGAACACCTCTGTAACTTGATTCTATTTAAGAAGGCAGGGATTGCTTAAGATGTTTGGGAACAATTTCTACCCAACATGTTTAAAGTTCTAGGAAATTATGTGTGTTTAAAGAACTGCATTACTGCTCTAAAAATCTGACCTAAGGATGCCAGACACCAACAGGATGATGGGCACCACCAGGGCATGGGAGGCCTGTGAAGGTGTGAGTTGCACAAGGTAGAAACTCCTCGTCCTACCTTGTAAACGGTTTCTGGTTCCTGTTTAGCTTGATGTTTTCTGTTTGAAATATTCTCCCAGGAAACCACAAATCTGGGTAAGTGAAATGTAGTTGCATTTCACTACAGGTGGGTCCCAATGCAGGAGGTGGGCTGCTTCCATGGTTTCCCACAGAGATCATTGGTGCACATGTGTTTTCCCAAAGTCTCAGTTTCCCCATTCCCTGATTTGATACTTAAGGCCCTGGCTCACCTGGAGAGAGGCAGGCAGAGATTTCCCATTTTTCTTTGCAATGTGCTTAAGGATCCTCATGGCTTTAGCGTTCTTGTTCTGGGAGATCAGCCACCTTGGAGACTCAGGTATACACCTAGGGTTCAAGATCAGTGGAGAGGAAATCTTACTAAACCTACCCTTCTGGCTCCCCAACCATGATTTCCATAATCAGATTTCTCTGAGGATATTAACACAGCTGGATCTACAAAGAAAATAACGATCATGCCAGGGGCATGTGGTTCTTTCCCCCCTCAAAGCTGACTTGTAGACAGCCTTGTCCAGGAAGCCTTTGGAGATTTCTCAGCAGGAATTTCTAAGCAGAATCACAGGAAGTAAAGCAGGGTGTGGCTGCACATCCAACTTTGGGCTGCACGGGGGAGAGGCAGGTCAGTTGGGATGGACCCTGGGCTTTGGAAAGACCTGAGAACTGACTGACTGGGGTCAAGGAGTGGATGTGGGAGTTTGCAAACCATCACGGGGAAAGCAAATATGTATCATGCTGAAAGCTGACTTCCCAGAGGAATGAGATAAGCATTTGAGGTCAGATGGTGAGAGAACTTAAAAGCAAGACTGCATAGTGTGAGTGAGCTATAGCAGGGCTCAGGGAGCCCTTGCAAGGTTTGGAGCAGGATCTGTGCCTGGAGAATACTCAGAGCATCTGGGTTCAGGGTGAATGGGGGGAGGACAGACTGGATAAAGGAGACGGCGGGGCTGCCCTTATGGAAGCTCTGGTACCAAGTTAGGGAGGCCCAGTTGGGGGTCACCACTCTGGGAGAGAAGATGCTCTGAGAGGTGGGGCTTGAAAGGAACTTGGAATGAATGCTTTTGTGGGAGCAATGGAGAGAAGAGTCAGGGCGGTTCCCCCTTTGAGACCTGGTGTCAGGAACCAGAGCGTGGTGTGCTCAACCACAGTCAATCCACTGCCTTTCTGCTGTGACACTGCAGGACCATTTTTCTAGTGGTACCCACATTCAACTCTGGCTGCCCACATGCCAGAAAGCACAGACTTGGCTCAGTCAAGTGTTTTGTGAGCTGGGGTACTGAGGGCTTAGCAACCGGGTCAGAGAAGATAGGAACATGAATGGTGGAGCCTGGAGGTGAAAAGTCTAGATGAACTCTGAGAGGGATATTCACAGAGTTAAAGAACTGCTAGGTTGAAGGGAAATTAAGTTAACTTTTGGGGGGGGGGGATTAGGAATATTCTGGCTCAATCCGAAGACTCTGGAATACAAGTATTGGTTTGTGTGATGGTAGAGTGACACTGTTCTTAGATGACACTTGGAAATCAGCCACTGGGGGCATTACTATGGGAATCTGGCCCGAGACAGGAAACTGGGCCAGAGGGCCCTAATGTTATCTGAACTCAAAGACCTCACAGCCTACTGGGACTGTCAAGTAAACAGTTGATCTCAGAACACAGTGATACACGAGGGTTCCAGAGATGCATGCCTGGTGCTACGGAGCATGGAGGAATCCCCAGCAGGCCTAGGCAGGCTGACCAGGGAAGACCTCGGAGAACTGGGGATGGGTTGGAGCCCCTCTCTCCTGTAACCCTTCCTTTTCTCCAGGGAGGCCATCTCACTCTTGTTTGGTCCTGGCTCCTCTTCCTTTGCTTGGCTTTCAAAGATGAGTTATTTCTTGTGTCCCAACACTACCCGCATCCTCTCCCAACTCTATTCATTTTTCTTTGTGTGATCTATCCTACGTCCTTAGGGACAAAAAAGATGTCACGAATTTTCCTTGAATTTTTGACCCTTACATTTCACTGTTCCTGGATGTCTGCATGTGATGCTCTTCTAGCATGTCATACTTGGTATGGTCAAAGCTCATCTGGTAGCCTGCTCAACTTATAAAAACCTGCTTCTTCTCCTGTGTTCATTACCTCTTTGAACAACACCCCCACTAACATGCAGGTGTATGAGCCTATATTCCAGGGGGTTGTCCACTAGATACCCTCTTTCTCTAAACCACCACTTGCAGTCTGTCACCAAGCTCTGTTATTGCCATCTCATTAGAATTGCTTTAAAGTTTTCCTCTTCATACCCACAATTTTTGTTTTAATTCAGGCCCTTGTCCTCTCTTGCAAACGTTATTGCAATAGTGTCTTAACTGATCTCCCTACCTCCCTTCTTCCCCCATGACACCTGTTTCTACTTTGCACCCTAAGAAATTTTTCAAAAAGGTGAAGGCCATCATGGAACACGTAGAAGTACATTCAATTTGATTCTACTGAGTGAAAGAGGCAAGAAGAAGTTCTTCAGAGGGAGTCTGAACTTGGATAATAGCTGGGTCTTTTCTGTCGTACTAAAGCACTAGGTATTTATTTTGAGGGGAAAAGTACTTGGAAAGACTTTTAAGCAGGGAAGTAGCATGGTGGAGCTGTATTTCCAAAATGTAGCGTGAAGCTCGGATCAGAGGACAACAAAGTTAGTGTTGAGGTGACCCACCAGGCATCTATTGCAGCAATCCAGGCAAGAAATAAAGATTCCTAATGGGAAAGAGGGGGAAAAGATGACTTCGGAGATAGAAGGGAGATAGAAATGAAGAGAGGGAGAGAAGGGAGATAAGGGTCCCACTTAGAGTGTGATGAACTGAATGTCTATATTCCCTCAACATTCGTACACTGTCACCTTAACCCCCAATGCATAATTTGGAGGTGGGGCCTTTGGGAGGTAGTTATGTTTAGATGAGGCTTGGAGGGTGGGGTCTCCATGATGTCATCAGTATACTTACAAGAAGAAGAGAGACCAGAGTGTTAGCTCTCTCTCTTCTCCCCCTTCATGTGAGGATATAGCAGCAAGTTAGGCTGTCTACAAGCCAGGGAACAGCTACTCCTCAGGAATAAATATGCCAGCACCTGGATCTTGGACTTCCCAGAATCCAGAACTATAAGAATGTTTGTTTTTCAGTAGCCAGCCTATGGCATTTTGCTACAACAGCCTAAACTACTAAGACACAGAGTTTTATTGCTTTTTGGACAAAAAAACCAAAAAAACAAAAAACAGGCTTTCTGTGAGAGATTGGGATATTTAAGTTTTAGATAAGACAACCATGGGAAGAACCAGTGGATAAATCCACGAGGAACTAAATAAATGGATTTGTAGACTGGGAGGGAGATTTGGTTTGATAATCCAGCATTCTTCTTGCTTTATTTCAGGTAACCTCAAATTAGGAGTGTCTGGTGTTTTCCATATGTTTTCCTTGGGCAGGGATGACAAATTCATGTTACTTGCCTTGGTAACTCTGATTGATTGGTATGGTCTGTCTGGAGTGCCATGTTGGCCTTATCTGAAAAGAAGACTATTGTGATTGATTGGGGACGTCTGCCTCAGGCATGGGCATTGAGAAGTGGTAACACAAGTGCTTTGTCTTCTCTATCCTAAAGTTTCCTCTGAGGAGGCAGAGAACAGAAATAGTGATATTGTTAATCTCTTTAAAGGGTCTGCCACCCAAATGGTATCACAGCAGCTAGCAGTGAATTTAAACACAAAATAAATAATGTGGAAATGTAAGATCCAGGTCAAAAAAACCTTTAGGCCCAGAGAGGAAGAACATGTGATTTCCATAGAGGGAGACTGGTTGAAGCTTGTATGAATTTTATCCCTGAAACATGGAATTGGGCTCTCTGTAAAATAAGAGAGTGAAAGAAACAGATTCAGAAGGATAGGGTGCTTTAAGGAAGGTAGACTGTTAAGCAAAATAAAGCACTTCAATTTATCACCTTTTTATTCCAAATGGACTTACCAGTAATAGAGTAAGAAACAGAAGTTGGGTAGAGAAACGGTGAACTGCAGCCACCTCCAGTGAGGAAGTGCGTACGCCACTCCAGCAAGCACCATGAGTCCCACGGTAAAGGCAACTTGGTAAAAAATCCCCACCATTCTACGATAGCTTGGCCCAACAAATTCTGTAACTGCAGAGAGAATTCAAATGGTTATTGTAATTCAGTACAACAATGAGTTGGATGAACTATCAAAAAACTAGAATGCCAGCTTCAAAATATAAAGTCCACATTCTAGAATGCTCTATCCACCTCTCCAAATATTTTAAAGTGTTCTCTGCTTCTTATGTTGCTATAACTATTGCTGTTGTATTAATTAATATAATTTTTTTTTTTTTTTGAGTTGGAGTCTCACTCTGTCACTCAGACTGGAGTGGAGTGGCTGCTTCCAGCCACCAGCCTTGACATGCTGGGCTTCGGCGATCTTTCCACCTCAGGCTTCCAAGTAGCTGGAACTACAGGCACGTGCTACCTCACCCAGCTAATTTTTGATTCATTGTAGAGATGAGGTCTTGCCAAGTTGCCCAGACGGGTCTCGAATCCGCGGACTCAGGCAATTCACTCTCCTCGGCCTCCCAAAGTGTAGGATTACAGGCTGAGCCACCGAGCCCAGCTTAATATAAAATTTTATAATCCTACATTAGATACGATGAAAGGCCTGCCAACATGAGCAAAAACAGTTGACTAATAGAATAATCTCAAGAACAAACGCAACTGTATTTCAGATAAATGCAGAAGTTTGATCTAGAGTCATAAGGCAGTGATAACACAAGACTGGATTAAATGAAGCGAACATTGAATTTAGACTGTGGAGGATTTTTATGTAAATGAACACCTGAATAGAACTTGTTCTCTTCCCCTAGTTAAACATTTCCTTTGCAATTCTGTTTGCCTACTTATGTAAATGAGGTAGAAACTTAGTGGAGGGCTGGAACCAGCTAGGGCTGGCTTGCAGGAACTGGTTTTTTATTTTCCGGGAATTTTACAAGCTGCTTGCTCAACCCATTGATATCTTGAAATCAGTCATGGTGGGAGTATTTACACCTTGGAAATTGGAAAACACTATAGATTTGGGCTTTTTGTTCTCCTACTTATCAGCATACCACTGCCCATGGTACAATAAATAGCTTTATCTCATCCTGTGACTACATCATAGCAGATATATGAGGTCCAGTTACATGGAATCAAGGGGTAGTTGTTTTTATATGACAGACATACTAGAATTGAAATTCTAGATATTCTACAAGATACTGTTTTGCTAAATGTTTAACAAACATGACTTCAATTATTTAATAAGCCAACTAGCAATGTACCCTAAATGCATTTCTATAAATTACTGCAAATTATCCCAAAGAATTTTTAAATAGAGTTAAACAAAATGATGCAAGTGCTCCATAAAATGTCTGTCTTTCAAAGGACATGAAGTCATGATGAGGTTTGAGGGTGTGAATAGAAAGAGGAAGAATAACAAGGTATACATTGAGGACACTCAGGAGGAATGAAGAAGGAATTAATGGGAAGGGGCTGAGATTCACATTTTCTGAAATTCACATTTACACAATTACATTCTGTATATTTTTATGTTTTCTAGAAACCGAAATGCTGGTTGAATAATTGCATGCATTAACTCCTTCATAGACCAAACATTTGTTAAGTACCCACCCTGGCAGGACTAGTATTAAGCACTATCTCCTCTTCCTCTCATGGAATCCTCCAAATTAACTTTCCCAGGTAAAATTTTAAGTACACATATTCTAATTCTGTCATGTGTAATGAAAGTTTTATTATTACTATTTTAATTTCCATAAAAATCAATTTGTATAGATGCGATTTGAGTGTAGCCAAAGGAAAAGTAATGATGATGTTAATTGCCAAGATCTAATTAGGGTGATTTTTCTTTTTCTTTTTCTTTGAGTTGGAGTCTCACTCTGTTGCCCAGGCTGGAGTACAGTGGCACACTCACGTCCACCCCAGCGTCCACCTGCTGGGTTCTCGCAATCCTTCTGCCGCAGCCTTCCAATAAGCCAGAACTAGAGGCACACGCTACCATACCTGGCTAATTTTTGATTTATTGTAGAGACGAGGTCTCGTCAAGTTGCCCAGGCTGGTCTCAAACCCGTGGGCTCAGGCGTTCCACTCGCCTCGGCCTCCCAAGGTGCTGAGATTACAGGCTGAGCCACTAAGCCTGGTCAGGGTGATTTTTCTTAAAATTGCTATAGAGATACCACGCAATTAGAATTCAAATATTCTTTCCGACTCCACGGAGTTTAACATAGCTCCAGGTACTAAGAAATAGGGTGTAAATTATATTCCTGGTCCTACAAACGGTTGGCCGAATAACCTAGGCTGACCACTTATATTCTCAATTATTTGTACATATGTGAGGATAATTGTGGTTTACTAGAATAGATTAATGTGAAGCATTCAGGCCCTTTATAAATCAGTTCTATTTTTCATCATTGAATCTTCTTTACAAATAGCTTAGGTAGGCTAGATTTTCTCCCTACATAATACTCCATACACAACTTCTAAAAGAGTTATATAAGAATCTGGGCGGTGTGATGTTTACCCTCGTTCCTGCCTTCACTGTTTTCTTTATAGGAAGAATGCAGAATGAGCTGACTGAAATGATTTTAGAAATTCTCTCACTATATGAAAACTCTCTCAGCATTGTCTTGAAGCTAGGTTTGTTTTTCCACCCAGCTGCCCCCGACCTAACTCTATTTTGGCAGCTAGGATCCTTTGTTCTCACAGCTGCAATCACAAGCATTCTTACTCAGGATGTAGCCTATTAACCAGCTTGCTTTGCTGACCAGTCCTTGGATCAAGCGAAAAATTAACATCCATGTGTAGGTTGGGGAAACGGCCATGAGAACCCCAGAAGCAGCGTTTATGAGGATTGTGGTCAAGAAGCAGAGCTTACGGCCAAACCTGCAGGGAGATAAACAAAGAGAGGGAATTGAATTAAATCCAATTCGTACAGGTTGTAGAGAATCCATGGAAGTTATGGAAATGTGAACGAACCAGAGGTTAACTCTAAATTATAAAAATCCAGGAAGCATAGACTGATAGCCACAAAAAATCTGTGACTTTGGTTATGTTTAGGATTTTGAATCAGTGTACATTTTCAGCACAATGAGTCTCCTTCACTCTGGGGTTAAAGTACCTTCCCAGCCCCATAGTCCCACATTCAGGGAGGGAGTAATTCTCCCAGGCCACCCAGTGCTGAATGCCCTACAGGTATGTCTAGATCTTACATCATCCTATAAGTGGGGCCTAGCAGTCTCGACCAACTGCCCACCCAAGAGAGTTCTGCCTTGGAAAAAACAAAATTCAAAGCTCAGAATACATTCCACTCATTTTCAATACTGCGTTTGAACTTTGTGGTCTTTGTACATCTCCATGGAGGTCGTCTTTGGTGCCAGACATGTTACTATCCCATGGGGATCTTTGCTTGGGGCACCTTGGGAGATAGTGTCCACATGTCTGATTTGAAGGAGTTGAGGTTTCATCAGTTTAGGGACTTGGAGAGTTGTCTCAGTACAAAGAATAGAGGAAAAGATGGACAATCTGAGTTTAATAATGGCTTTACTACTTACAACGACGTTGAGCAAGTTATTTGATCTTATTCAATTTCTTCACCTGGAAATGACCCATCTGACTCAGCTAAACAAGGATTCAGTGGGATGCTACAGGTAAAGAGCTTGGCACATAGCCTGTTCCCTCTCTCCCACCCTCTGTCCTCCCTTCTTCCCCTCCTCCCTCTGTTCCTTTCTTCTTTTTCTGTTTGCAAAGCTGCCTCAGCTCAGGAATTTGACTCAGGGCCCTGAACTCTTATTTTCACCATGTCCTGGTTTTGTTCTAAAAGACACTCCAATTTGCTATTAGGGGATATTCTAAAAATTCTTCTTAGAAAATAATGTATTTAATCTTTGTTTTTCCACTTCAATCTGGAGTGCTTTTTGTCATTAGGATTGCTCTTTTTTTTTCTTAGGGCAGGTTAGTTTAATTTTATAGAAAAATAATTTCAAACAATATAAATGGCACAATTAAAAGTGTAACAAAAACAAAGAGATGAATACTGATTAGAACTTATTCCTATAACAGAAGGCTACTTATTTCTGCAGTTATTAATCAAAGCCTGACAATTCAGTGATTTGATGAAGTGAAAGCTAGATTGCTCATTCCAATGGTGGCTAGACATTTAAAAATGGATGGTTTTATTATCAGGCAACTACATTCTAGTGAACATTTCAAATACTAACCAAGCATTTTGAAATCATCCACAACACTATTACGTTATTTTGGAAGAATAACGTTTTAAATCTGAAATTTAAATATCAAGCTGTCACATTAGTCATTAATGGTAACTACTAAACTTCTCAGAAACTTAAATCTCTGTTTTGACCATGCCATTTCTTTCTTTCTTTTAATATTTTATTTTAAAGATGTGGGATACAATTCAGGATTAGGTATACAAGTAGACATCATATAGGCAAAGTTTGGGTCTCCCATTGGTTCCCATTTTGCCTGGTTTGAGATCAGGTACCCTTATTGATGTTGTGTCCCCACCCCCAACCCAGCAGTATACCGCTACTGCCAATCCTTTTCTTAAAGTATTATGGTAAATGTTTAGGGTCTGCTTAAGAGTGAGAACATGGGGTACTCTGTTCTTTGTTTCTATGATAGATCACTGAGTATTATAGATTCTAAATCCATCCAAGTTGCTGTGAAGTCCATATGTTTGTACTTCTTTATGGCTCTGTAATATTCCATCATGTATATGTAACACATTTTTAAAATTCAGTCCAGTTTCGATGAGCAGCACGGTTGGTTCCATGTTTTTGCTATTGTGAATAGTGATGCAATAAACATGTGTGTGCAGGTATCTTTTTTGTAGAATGATTTTAGTTCCTCTGGGTATATTCCCAGTAGGGCGGATTGCTGGGTCATATGGAAAGTCAATTTCTAGTTCTTTTAGAAATCGTCACACTGTTTTCTGCAGAGGATGAACTAGCTTGCATTCCCATCAGCAGTATAGAAGCGGACATTTTTTAATTCTCAGTCAATGACTCCCTACCGATGATATAGAACCCTTAGATTCTAATTCAAAGACTTCCAAAGTCACATCTCAACTGAATTTTTTTTTTTTTGAGTTGGAATCTCACTCTGTCGCCCAGACTGGAGTGCAGTGGCCGCTCCCGGCCACCGCAGCCTCAACCTGCGGGGCTCCGGCGATCCTTCCGCCTCAGCCTTCTGAGTAGCCGGAATTACAGGCATGCACTACCACGCCCAGCTGATTTTTTGATTTATTGTAGAGATGAGGTCTTGCTGCCCAGGTGGGTCTTGAACCCTCGGGCTCAGGCAATCCACTCACCTCAGCCTCCCAAAGGCACGGGTCAACTGAACTTTTTAAACTTTCTTCCCACATTCTCCTATCCATCCCCTTCCTTTACCCTGAAGAGTTTATCATCTATAAACGTTTGCTCGAGTTGTCATCCTACAACTTCTAAAGCTGATTCAGGCACACAACAAAACACCACAGTAGTGCTCCTATAGATAGACAAAAACCTTTGGATAATGAGAGGGAATATTTATCATTTGAAACTGAGAGCAAGTAAACCAAATCCATAATGCAGAAGAATTCCACTGAGGACCTGTTCCAAATAAGGAAACGACGCTATTTTTAAAAAAAGGCATAGCTAGAAGAAATCTGGTGAGCAGTTTGAGAACCCCTCCCCCAATGAAGCCACTGAAGTGGTTAAATGGAAGACAAATCAATGAAACAGGAGAGGAGGGGTTGACTCCCAGCACTTCTAGCTTTATAAGTCCTTCAGCTGCTTGCTACTCAGAATGTGGCCCAGGACTATCAGCATGGCAGTGGGAAGAGGAACCAGCATCCCTAGGAGCTGGCTAGAACTACAGAATCTCCAGTTTACCCAGACCTACTGAATCAGAATCTGAATATTAATAAAATTCCCAGTTGATGCATATGTACCTTAACACTTAGGAAGCAGCACTTTCATTTCACTGAGCCTCATCTGTAAATTATGGATAATAAATCTTCTTTAAAAGGCTGTTGTTTAGAGCACCCATGACATAAGTAATTCCATCATAGAAAGACTTCGGCTCACATTTCAAAAGGCATCAGGCCAACTGGGACCAGGAGTTCACTTAATCAATAGAAGCTGCACCCAATCAGATGAGGACATAACCAGGTATATTTCCCCACTCTCAGTCCTTACCAGAGGACTTTAGGGTCATAAAAAGGGCAGGACTTCACCAGCTCAAGATGCCCATCTTGACAGACACCATCTTGCTGTCAATTGTGACGAGCACCCTGTACCCACCAATGGTTTTACTCAAATCAGACTCTTCCTTGCAAGAGCTTGGTGTCCGTCTGGATCAGCCCAGGACATGTCTCTTGTTCATGTTGCTCTTCTTGAACCGGTTATGAATCCCTCTTCTTATGCCATTTTCTCTCGATGTTAAATTTTACTTTGTTTGGTGTGAAGTTTTAATCTATAATACTTGTATATTGATTAAGTATACTATTATGTATGGTTTGCAATACTGACTGACTTGTGGAATGTGTTGAACCTGTGTGTCCACAGCTCTGACTACAGAGTAAATGGGTAGTAGTACTAAGGAAAATTGCCTCCTGGGAAACTCCATGTAGCTTATGGGTTATATGGCTGAAATAGTATCAATTAAAGGCTGGCCTTGTGGAAACACACAAGTCGTCCTGAATCTGGTTATGTCTGACCTTGCACTACTCACAACAACTATTGTGATCCTAAATGAAATATCGCAAATGAGGGCGCCCCACAAGGTGACCTTACACACAGTATTTAGCAGAGAACTTGTTACGGAAGGTCCCCTATAGTTGGGTAAATTCAAGCAACCCACTGGGACTTTAGTTCTGCTTTGATCTAGTTCCAGCATGACACATAGTCAGTGGAATGCTGGCTCTCGAGAGCTGATTACAATGTGTAGAAAAGTTAGGCCAGGTGTGTGGTTCACACCCGTAATCCCAGCACTTTGGGAGGCTGAAGTGGGATGATTGCTTGAGCTCAGGAGTTTGAGACAAGCCTAGGAAACATAGTGAGACCTCATCTCCACAACAAATTAAAAAATTAGCCAAGTGTGGTGCTGTGCACCTGTAATCCCAGCTGTTTGGAAGGCTGAGGTGGAAGGATCACCTGAGCACAGCAGGTCTAGGCTGCAGTGTCTGTGAATGTGTCCTGCCCTCCAACCCTCCAGCCTGGGTGACAGAGTGAGACTCTGACTCAAAAAAAAAAAAAGGACTTCTAGAAAACATGCAAGCTGGTTGTTAAACACAAACATTATTAAAAATTAAATTATATACATTTACAATGAAATAAATTGCATTAAAAACAAATGTAGTAAATGTGTAAAACATCACTTCTTAATTGTTTTATTATATTTAGCTACCTATACTTGCGAGTTTATTTATGTCTACCATATCTATATGGTTGATGTATGGTATACTGGTGTATATTTCTAGCCAACTAGCCAACTCTGGGTCCTGTGATCTTGCTTTGGTAGACTGAAATGGACCAGGGTGGGCGTCGCTATACTATGCACATCATCAAATGCTACAAACTGGGGACACTGGGGATTTTTCCCTCAATAGCCAGTTGTTAAACATTTACAAGCATGCCACTGTATATAGTAATTATAATTACAGATCATTGGAGTAAAAAATCTGGAACTGGTGAGAGATTACATTTTTTGTCAGATGACGCTCAAAAGTGTTCTTTAGGAGATTATGGATGATGAAATAAATCAGATATTTTATGAGAAATTCATTTTCAAATTCTCTAGCATATGCTCTTCCTTATTTCCTCCCTCCCTTTCTTTCTTCTTTCCTTCCTTTCCTTCCCTCTTTCCCTCCCTCTTTCCTTCTCACTTTCCCTCCCTCTTTTCCTCCCGCCCTTCCTCCTTTCTTTCTTCGATTTGCAAAGCTGACCCTCAAAAAGTTGACTTGGGTAAGACTCAGTATTCTTATTTACAACCTTTTCATAATGTCCTGGTTTTCTTCTAAAGGATGACTTAAACACTTGTTAGAGTATATTTTAAAAATTCTTTATGGAAGACAATATGTTTCATTTAATGTTGGTTTAATCTATGGACAAAATGGTTTCCATGAGACTCTTCTCCCATTGCATAACATCTGAACATTGTAGGCATTAATTATGTGAAAATCAAATTGTTCCTTTTTGGAAACCTGCAGTGTTGCCGAATTACTTTAGGCCACACTTCACACTCCTACACCAAGGCAGGTAGAACAGAAAAAGGACCAACGACCTCAAAACTTCAGACGGTTTAAGACAAAGAAATTGAGGTATGCATAGAGCCCTTGGGAAAAGAATAATGAGTAATCAACTGTAGAGAGGAGATTTCAACAATAGGAACAAAATAATGAGGTCACCTAAGAAGGTGGATAATTGGGGATTATAACTTAGGAATTCACTGGCAGTGGGGAATTATAACTGACCTTCTGCTTGTGGAGTGGGAGGAGAATAATTAACTCATTTCTTTAACCCACTGTGCAAGGGTTAAAGATTTAGTCACCTATTTTCTCATCCTTCCTGGCAAGGGGAGTGTCGGCATCTCTGCCTCATGGTGGAGGAAGGGGTGCAGAGGGGTGAGCAGCGCCGCCCCAGCTGCCAGGGGAGTCAGGCGGACTCCGACCTCCCCTTGTTAATATATCTCTCTTGGCTTAATGGGCCAGCTCCAAACCACCATCCTCCACCCTGTAGCTATAAAAATAAAAGTGAATGATCTTCCTCTTCACCTCGCAAACCTCCTACACAGTCCTGGGAAGAGCCTTGGCCAAGTGGCCAAACAGATGGTAATGAATGCGGTGATGGATGGGGCTGCAGTGACGGATGGCACATGCCTCCACTTTATCCCACCTCCCCTGACTGCCAGGCGGGCCCCAGGCCCCTGTGAAATGCAGATGCCTCTGCGGATGTGATGCAGTGAACCATTGGTGTTAATCTTTAGCACATTTGCAAGTTTTAATACAGTCTGACAATATAATCAGAAAACATTCTACCTACAATTAAGATTGTATTCACAGGTTTGGGTTTTATGCGTATTTAGAGAGGGCATGGGAGGGCAATGAGCTCAAAGTGTGTCTACTCTGCCATTTATTTAAGAGTTAATATATAATATATATATTATGCACATATAATATATTAGATATGTTATATATTATATCAATATATAATAATATATAATGTATTTATAATCTATTTCTATAACTATTCTGTTATATGTAATAGTTCTAGTTTGTCTACATATAATATGTGACATATATTATATTATATATGTCACTATCTCATTAGATGGCTGATGATTGTGCAGAAAAATACAGTCCAAATTGTTGAACACAGTGTCTGGCACACAGAAAACACTCAATCAACAGTCAGTATCATGAAAATTAAATAATTAGCCCCCATGGCCAAGTTATCTAAAGTGCTTCTCAACTGGGAAGCAAATTTTCTTTTTTTTTTAATCAATTTTTAAAAAATGATACTGTGGGGTATAGTTAAGGGTTAGGTATACAAATATGCTCCGTTCAGGCACCCTTGTTGATAAGAGGTGTCTCCCCGGGGAAGCAAATTTTCTTGTTTCTTTCCCTTTTGAGTACTCCCCCAAATACCTACTTGGTCATTGCAGAGCAAAGATGGATGTTATGAGGAACTTTCAGCACAGTGAGTGTGGTATGGCTTGATTAGTGTGAACACTAATACTAGCCTGCTGAAGACATGGTCTCATCTGAGAGGCCTTTTGTTATTCCTTTCCAGGGACACTGACATTGTGGGAGTGGATATTGACTCCACTTGGGGTAGACAGAACCTGTTTCCTTCTCATTAGATTATGGGCTCCATGCATACAGTCACATCTGACCTCAGGGACCACATTCAGGAATCCTGTAATCCCACAGACTACAGGTAAATTTCACACTGGGCCTGGTGCTGTGGCTCCTAACACTTGAGAGATGGGACAGAGCTCAGAGGCCTTGAAGTCTCCTGACCAGGTAGACCACGATCAGGCCAAAAAATGACCTGGGAATTATAAACGAGATAAGATCATCTGCTACTCTACCTTCTGACCCTAAACCGCTGGTGAGACTACAAGGAAAAATTGCTACCTAATGTTGAAACATCTCTCTATGGCCCCAGAGAGCTTGAAAATCAAGACATCAGTCATGGACATCCAAGTAGAAAAAAAAAATTAAGATTGTAAAAGCAACCAACATTAAGGCTGGGAGATTGTGGCCTGTGTGCTTGGGAAAGATGGTATTCCAGCAGGTGAAGGTTTATCCAGGCGTTTCCCGAATGCTTGGGATTATTTCAAGTCCACCATAAGTGCTTCACCTACCTGTCTGCTATGTAGCCGATGCCCACAGAGCCGATAAAAAATCCCACATTCACTGACGACTGAAACAGGTCCAGCAGCCAGGAGTTGGCACACACCAGATTAAACTGCAGACACATGAGGCGTGTTCCCAGTCAGGAGGGAGAGAAAACACAGTTCGTTAGAATCTTACTGAGCATGACTCAGCCCAGGGACTCATTAGATATTCCTTTAATCGAACATGTGGCTGAATGACAATAAGTCCAATGCTTTCTTGACCATGTGGGTTTTCTTTACAGAACCATAAGATCTCCATTCTATCTGGAAGTTTGTTATTAGGTTAAACTACAGTGTTGGCCAGATGTGGTGGCTTACGCCTGTAATCCCAGCACTTTGGAAGGCCGAGGCAAGAGGAGTGCCTGCACTCAGGGGTTCAAGACCAGCCTGGGCAATTTGGTGAGATCTTGTCTCTACAATTAAAAAAAAAAAAAAAAAAAGCCAGACATGGTAGCTACTTGGAAGGCTGAGGCAGAAGGATTTTCTGAACCCAGCAGGTCGAGGCTGCAGTGGTCGTGAGCCTGTCACTGCACTCCAGCCAGGGTGACAAAGTGAGACTCCAACTCCAAAAAAACCAAAAAACGAAAAACAAAAATATCTATAATGTTGGCTAAATCAGCTGAAATTGGGTAATTGCTTCACTGATAGACAAATCCAGTTTTTCCTTTTTAATACACAGAGGCAAATGTGTGGCTATAATGCAAATGCAGCCCCAAGGAAGCTAGGCTGTGCAGTGCCTCTTTGCTGTCTCTTTAATAGTGGGGTATTAGGAACTGGCTAAAGGCTGGTGCGCACGTTCTTACATGGAATGAGAGGAGGTACTCAGGTGGGACAGGCACTGGCCCGGGGTCAGGAGATCCAGCTTCTAGGGCTAACTCTGCTAAATTACTCGCTGTGTGGCCTGGGCAAAACTCTTTTCTGCTCTGGGTCTCAGTTTCTCCATCTCTTTAAGACAATGGGATGAGATTAGCTCTCCTGCTGAGAGCTTCTTACAGTTATGTAGTGTTAAGCTCATGAACTCTCATATTTCACCATTTAACCACTCTGTTTCCCAGGCTGGAGTGTAGCGGGCTGGTGATGGCTCACTGCAGCCTCGACCTCCTGGGCTCGGTGATCCTTCAGCTTCAGTCTCCCAAGTAGCTGGGACTACATGCACATGCCACCAGGCCTGGCTAATTTTTTTGTAGAGACCAGGTCTTGCCACGTTGCCCAGGCTGGTCTCAAACTCCTGGACTCAAGCAATCCTCCTGCCTTGGCCTCTCAAAGTGTTGGGATTACCAGCATGAGCTACCACACCAGCATCTATTTGATCACGTCTTTTTAGATTTTCTTTTTCTTTTTTATTATAAAGATGTGGGGTACAATTCAGGATTAGGTATACAAACCTTGATTATGCAACTACCCTTGCTGATGAGGTATGCCCTTCCCTCCCCTATTTAGGTTTTCTAAATAAGCTTCTCTGCCTCAGTGTCTGTTTATACAGAATATCATCCTATTATCCAAGCAGACCTTTTACATTAAGCTAGGCAGCTGGCTTCCTCAGTATTTTCAGAATAATTTCATTCCCTATTTTGCTTGTTTTTTCAGTAAAAACAAGCCTCCATCTTTTTTCTTGCTTTCTCTATAATTATTGAAACGAGGCTTCACAATTTGATTATAATGCTCACAATAGTTTTTAAGAAGATAATAATGCCATAGCATAATCTCCAGTCCCAAATGGTTTTATATGGACACTCAGCAGATAAAAGAGAAAAAAAGGCATCAAGAGAAAAGAACATGTCATCCCATAGAGAAGTGCCATTTAGGAGAGTCCCACAGGCTTTCAGGTGTCTATTTGTGCTATTGAAGAATAGAGGGAGAGGTAGAGCTTCCAGAAAAAGAGGAGGCTTGAAATGATTTCCCTTTCCTGGCATGGTTTCCAGGAGCTCTAATGTGCTTTTGCTTGTTTCTGACTGCTGAGACATGCATCAACCACAATCACTATGGTTAGAATTTGAGGAAGTTTTAACAAATCCACTCACTCTTTAGACAAATGAGAAGCTGCATGTTTTCACCTGGAAACCAGGATTTTCGAAGATACAGAGAGCCCAAAGAGCATGTCCAGGCACAGTTTAAAAAGCCTTTCCTGGTTTCTTCCTGAAGAAAATCTCTACCTCTGCTTTGTCATCCTGAGCCCCGAGTTTTCTTACCTCAGTGACGATGGAGGAGCCAGGTGTGTCGTACACCCAGCCGTCCCCACAGGGGCCCAGCGGCAGGCGGCTCCTGTTGGTGGCCAGGCCGGCCAGAGGGTCCACGCAGCCCAGGGTACTCTGGTTCCAGTCCACCTCATAGCGCCAGCACTGGCCATGGGTGGCCTCACCTGTGGGCCCCAGGCCGGGTACCGTGTAGTTCAGCTCCTCGGCAGGGCTCCAGTCACAGCGCTGGCTCAGTTCGGCCACCCCGGGGCTCCAGCAGCGGTGGTCAGGGGTGAAGCCCAGGAAGACGATGCCCACGTAGATGGGGGTGAAGGCTGCGGAAAGCAGAGCCAAGAGGACAAACATTTGCTTCTGGAAAAAGTGAAATTCACCTGCGTGCTCCAGGGCATCATCCACGGTGGGCATGATTCTTGGAGGGCACAGTCCTGATGCCTTTCTGGAGTGCCCAGGGGTGACTGAGAGTGGCTGTGGCTGGCTCAGCACACACCCTGGCCAAAAGTCAAAGGGTAAGAGTTTGCTCCAGAAAGCAACAGCCTTCCCTTGGTCCTGCTGACTTCAAAGGGTGCACCCCTTTCGCGGGTGTGTCCTCCTATGCTTCCAAAATGCCCCGAGCAAGCTCCCAGGACACAACGTCTTATTTATCTTAACACGTTGTCCATGAGTTTGGGGCTGCCTCACCCCAGCACCACAAATAACCTTTTCTCTGTGTCCCCCTGAGAGGAATGAGAGTGCTTTCCCACATCACAGCCGCTAATCTTCCTCTGGCACCCTCAGTGTCCGGGAACTTAATATATTCCTATCTCACTCGACCCGCCGACCTTTGCTTCGGGGTGCTGTGGCGAAAGCACACATGTTTGGCCTCGGGGCCCAGTTAGTACGTGAATTGGGGTCTCGAGTCAGAGCCCTTGTGCAGATTCAGAGCCGTTTGTTTGTAAGTTCGACTGCTGGGCTCCTTCTCCAAACAAGTGTGCTCAGGAGGCATGCTGGGCCTGCTTATTTTGATTTCTTCCAGATTTTGTGATTCTGCTTTTTAAAAGTGTTTGCTGCAATCTGGCATTCTTGCCTTTCAACCCTGAAGTGTCCTTCCCCCTTGACCCATTTGTAAAGTGCCCACCTCACAGATGTGTCAGTTGTAAATGCTGGCAGGTGTGTGCATGACACTGTCTTCTTGTCTGTGGTCTGATGGGGCTCAGAAGCTGATACCCTAAAACGGAGACCTCAGCAAAGTCTTTCTCTGGACTTCTCTTGCTTTCCTGTCTCTCACGCCTCATTCTCCCCCAGGAAAGCCAGAGAGACTGGAATCTCTCTTCCTCAAGGTAGGCCATGGAAACCAGGATTGCCTTTCCCCAAAGCCAGCCATATGGCCTGAAAATATCACCCTAACCCTCCCCTTGCCTTTCCGTGTAACAGCTAGCATAGAGAAATTAAGACCCTTGTTTCAGAGGATTCCTGCCCCATACCTGGGGGGAAGGAATGCTGCTCAGAGAGGCCAAGAAAAATCTGAATAGACAGGCCTTGTTGGGTTTCCCCTTTCAGTCTGTGAGCATTAGCTCATAGCCATTTGGTCCAATCACAGTTCTACATACCTGTCCATTCTTTGTGGAACTCAAGCATCAAGATGGAGAGTTTTCCCTGTATCTCTTCTTCATTCTGAAGGATCCCGTGTCACATACAACTATGATCCAGTAACTTTGTCATGCCTTTCTCTTGTTAACCTGTCTTCCGTTATAGGGACATCGGCCTTGAGGATGGGGAGCAAAGCGGTCACCCCCTTTCTACCCTCACAGGTCAAGGATGTCTCTTTAGGAAGGTGTTAGTGCATCCAAATGCAAGAGAAACAGGGAATCTGCCTCTCCTGGCAGGCTAAAGGATCTTTGATGCATTGTGACACTGCCAAGCAGAGAAGGCAGTCTGCTGCTACATCTGCAAATACAATACCAGAAAGTTCATCCAGTTTTCTTTCTTCTTCTTTTTTCTGTTAAACACTTGGTGGGTATAAATGGTCTGAGTCTTCCTCCTCACTGCTTCTTGTTTTTCTTAAAAAAAGCAAAAGGTGGGGTGCTGGTGAGGACACCCACTGACTCCCACTATGGCTGTGTCAAGGTCCCAGAGGGCTCTGCTCGGGGGCACCCTGGCCCACTGTGGCCCATTGGCTCTGAGCTGAGTAAATAGGTTTGGAGAAGTCTAGGGACTTCTCAGTGTCTTGAGCGCACAAGCTGGAAGCTCTGCAGCCTCCTGTTCGTGTCACACTCCCTTTCCTGTTCTTCACCCAAGGGATATGGGAGGGTGAGTTAAAAAGTGACTAAAGTGTCAAACCTTGCTCCCTGCCACGGGCCCAGAGCTGGTCTTGACTGCCTCTTACTAGGAAATATACAGAAACTTGCACTTGAGTTTGACTCATTGACACGGTCCATGTCAAGACACCAGATCTTCAAGCCGTGAGCAAGAGAGCACCAGATAAGGGCCAGAAGTGTTCCCTTGGCTGATGAGGAGTGATGTTGAAATTCATCATGGATCACTTAGAGTGAACAATCAGATAAGGAGAAATTCAGACCTCAGATCGCTTACAGCCATTTGTTTACACAGTCACTCAACAATGTTCTGTGGGTGTGCTAGTCCACAGCACAGCTGCCACAAAATCAGTCCCATTAGGTGACAGACACGAACCTGCAGCAAAGCCACACTAGCAGTGAGCACTAATGGGTGAGAAACCACAGAGGGATTTTGAGTCCGAGTCTCTTGTAGAATTGTCACTTCATTCTTGGCAGTGTTTACATATTCAGAAGGGTGACCAGCGGGTAACCTGATCATTTAATCCATATAATCTGATGTATTGTAATTAATGTTGGAAATATTTCTCAATCTTTTACCAGGCTCCTTTGCAATGTAAATAAATTTTGTTCCCAGGTTGCAATCCTTTGGGCAGCACGGAGGAAGGCCAGCTGTGCTCAGACTAACCTTCTCAGCTCCCACACAAGAGGATGGGGCAGTTAAGGTGGGAAGTTAGGATGGATTAATTCTACTCTTGGCAAGCCAGGCACCAGGTACTTAAAGGGTGAAAGGGCAGAAACAGGTGATCCCTCAGCAGTGGAGGAGGGGATTTGGGGTCACTTGTTAAGCAGGATGATTTTAGCAGATGGTGCCTGCTGAAATTGGGGTCTGGTGGAACCCCCTTGGCTAAGTTGAAGTCTACCTGAGACAATGATGGAAACAGGTTGTCTCACAGTGATGGGTGCCATGGGTTCTCTCTGCAGCTAATGGGGATATGCAATGGGACCAGAGGGGACCATCAACAATCTAGACTGCAGTTTAGCCTGGTACTATGGTATCCATGTGAGCTGGGTAAGCTCATGGTTCCTCTTGTAAATGGCGATTGTCCCTAAGTCAGAGAGGTGATGGATGAGATCACTCAGGATTGCTACTGAGCATAGTGGCTTCCATACTTAGTAGTCATTCACTAAGACACTTTCACTCTCTCTTTCCCTTTCTCCTTTTTCCTTCCTCCCTGTCCCCCACCCATCCCACACGTGCCTTTGTCTTTAATTCCCTTCTGACATTTACATCACTGCTGGGTGGGTGTAGGGCTCTGTGGCCAGACACAGCAGCAGGTAGTCTGCTTTGACCCAGAATTGTGGATCGTGGAAACTTCCAGGTGGCAGGCATCTCAGAGGACATGAGTAGCTCCATCTGATGCTTCAATTTCTCAACAACACCTGTGTCCAAGTAGTGACACATACATGCTTCCTGTATCGGTAAGCCCATGCAATTGTTGGAACTTGTAGATTGCTGGAGAGATTTCCTCAAGGTGCACCAGAATTCATCTTTCAGAGTCTTCCATACATTTGGACATTATTCTCCCTTCTGAGGTTGGATATATTAGGTTAAAAACTTCCTATATAGCAAACCTGCACATGTAGCCCCTGGAATCTAAAATAAAATAAAATAAAAACAAAATACCAAAAGAAAGCCTTCCTGTGCAGAACTTTGGATCTTTGAAAATAGCTTCCTCTTGCCTCAGATTCTTGTCTTTTTCAGAGTAAATATTCCCAGCTCTCCATATAGCTGACTTTCTCTTCACCACCAGGGCCAGCCCTGAAATGTGCTCTAATCTTGTCTTCATGAGAGGATCTGGGAGCTGGCATACTTCTCAGGTGAATCCACCCAGGGTATTGCAGGACCAGTGGTTACCTCCCCAAACAGTGTTAGGGGCTAGCACCAGCCAGCAAGTTCAATGTGTGGAGAAGGCAACTCAAACCCACTTCAATTGCCATCCTGCTGAGTAAGGCTGCAGGAGGACTGATTAAAACTCTTCTTGGGCTTCCTTCAGTAATGTTGACTTTTATTTTATTTGATTATCAATTTTTTTTTGAGACAGGGTCTCGCTCTGTCTCCCTGACTGAAATACAGTAACACAATCACAGCTTGCTGCAGCCTCAACCTTCTATGCTCAAGTGATCCTCCTGCCTCAGCCTTCCAAGTAACTGGGACTACAGGTGCACGCCACCATGCCTGGCTAATTTTAAATTTTTTTTTCTTTTAAAGAGACAGAGCCTCATTGTGTAGCTCAGGCTGGTCTTGAACTCTGGCCTCAAGTAATCCTCTTGCCTCGGCGTCCTGAGTAGCTTGGACTACAGATGTATGCCATTATGCCTGGCTATTTTTAAAATTTGTTATAGAGGTGGAGTCTCACTATGTTGCCCAGGCTGATCTCGAACTCCTGGCCTCAAGTGATCCTCCTGCTTCAGCCTCCCAAAGCACTGGAATTATAAGTGTGAACCACCACATCTAGTCCTGCTTATTTATCTTTAATGGTTCTATTTTCCCCACAAAATGACAGTCCTGTGCTGATTTCCTCTGATTCAGGAGATGGGAATTAGCCTGGCGATGAGATGAAGAGGTATCCGTTACAAGGAGGAGGAGGAGACATGAGGATGGGTCGCTCACTGTGGGTCCCAGGGTTCCTTCTCTCCAAGCAGTATGTCTTCTTCTCCCTCTTACACTCTCAGCCTTCACATCAAGCCTAGTAACTCTAGAAGTCACACGCACAAAATTAAACAACTGGGCCCTGTGCTTTAAAAGACAAGACACGAACCTTAAGCTTCCAAATTAGCTAGTAATGGGGCTCGGGACATGTCACTCCAAAATATGGCACCTTGGCATTGAAGAAAACAACAGAAGCAGGTCAGTTTCTTCTGCCAACCTCCTTCCTGAAGTAGGTCATGAGACCCTCGTTCCAGTGCCCTTCCTACCCCTGCAGGATAGGAGCATCCTTATGTCTGAAGACACAGGGACACAGACAAGAATGAATACACAGGCCTTGCTGCATCCCCCTTGCTTATGCCCATGAGATTATACCCCCTTCGTCCTATCGTACTTCTCCACAACTGTCCTTTGCATCAAATCCAAGCTTAAAGATATTCAAACCTCCCTGTTTCTTGGAGGTCTTCATTTTTTGAAGACTCCGTGTCATGTAAATC